CCGGTCGCCAAAGACTCTGCCTGAATTGCATGGATTATCGACTTGGGTGCTACGAATTTCATGACTCACTTACCAAGTTGGGTATTTGTGACGTATATGCACCAACTTGAGGAGGAGTGTTGAAGTGAGTCTCCTAATTAATCAAGGGATTTACTTTCCTATTTTATATAGTTGTCAAATCATTGTATAATTAGGAGATACTTTCCTAATTCTTTACTGGATCTAATTCCTTGTAAAGCACTCATGTAAACTCTTATATATACCTCCTTATGGAGAAGAATAAAATAAGAACCTAATATATTCAAAACCAAATATTCATATTTTAGCAGTGACTCCTCTTTCATGTGTTCAAACCTTTGACTTTTCTCACTTATAGCGCTCAAAGATTTAGAAGTTTAATAGATCAAACGAACAAAAGAGTACAAAGGAAGAAAATTGTAAAGGGAACAATCCCAATAGCAATATGGCGGACATGAGAAAAACTTTTCAAAATGACATGAGCTAGCAAAAAAATGAGACGATATTGAGAGAATCACTCCCCAAAAATAACTTTCAAAGAATAATTTAACTTTTTTGTTGTTGTTTTTTTTCCATTATTCAAAGTTATGCATATATAAGTATAAGCGCTTATAATAATTATACATTATATAATATTAGTATACATTTGTTTTTTTCCTCATTTATCCATGCTAATCTTATTTTATTTCCCTTTCTCACAACTAAACTCCAAGAATTAGACTCTAATGATATGATGAGATGCCTGGATTAGTACTCAAAAGGCATAGAATAATGTTATACATTTAAATAAAAGTGAAGCCCACTAATACAATAGGACCCACCTCTATTAAAGAGTAGTATACAATTTGATATGCGAGGCCTAGCATTTTCAAATAATCTATAGTGAAAAGACGAATAACTCGGAGAGTAACACAAGCATCTTGTTCCGCATGAAAACAACACAAGGACAAGGACTTGCTTGTTCTCATCTCCATCTTTGGAGGGTTAACAAGGACTTGTTGAATAGACAGCTTAACCTCGAATATTTAGAAAAAGTAATCAATATTAAAATGGTTAAAATCACGAAAAAGAAATGTATAGCCATTTTACAGTACAACAATAGAATCACAAAACAATAATACTATTAAAGCAAAACATTAAAAACCGAGTGTAAAAAGTTTTCAAGTCCAATAATATAATATTCTGTTTATAAGCGACGTGGCAGCATTTGGACAACGTGGAAAACAAAGATATTGTGTTTTAACGTTGGATTCGTGGATTTGGGTTGTTGTTTGTTTGCGTTCTGCGTTTTCAACGGATATCGTGATTCACAGTTTGCTGTGTCAACAAACTTGACTGACTCAAACCTGAAATTGTAAACCAAGGTGATTGGTGTGAGTGGTTCGGCACTCTCATTCCTTAAAAGAGGTCAGGGGTTCAATCCCTGCTCTCGTACGGAGTCACCACTTTGGCCAACACTTTACCCCTTACGGGGCCGACCCGGTGTGAGTGGGGATTAGTCTGGGTTGTGGTTAAGGCTTAAAGGTGTCACCCATAGTTGGGGCCCATCCAGGACCACCTCATGGTTCAGACCAAAAAAAAAAAAAAAAACCTTAAATTGTACGGCAATTGACATAACACAACGTTTTTTCGCGGAACCTAACCCAAGCATGGGGACTTATAACTATCATTGTCAACATCTAATAGAAATCTCCCCTTTTGGCGGGTTCCCATTTCACATGTACAATTTGTTTATACTATATCCATATATATGTTTACTAGAAATGTAACCAACGTGACTAATTAATCATATGCAATTAGATCATTTTATCAGCAAAAAATCAGTCATGAGATGAGATGAGATGACATAAAAACGGCATCGATGAACAAAGCTTTGATAAGAAAAAGTCCAAGGATCAGGAATGACTACGCAGAGGGGCGGAGCTGTGTTAAGGCCAGGGTGGCCTTGGCCCCCAATTTATTTAACCCCTTTAAAATCATACTACTTTTATGAAAGAAAACCACTCATTTCAATTTAGTGTTTTTGTAGGCAATAGTTTACTCAATAGGCCAAAAAAAAAATATACAACTAAACTTTTTGTATTTAACATTTTGGCCCCCTCAAATATAAAATCCTAACTCTGCCCCTACGCAGTTCAAGACCATCTATAAAAGGCGAGGCAATCAAGCTACATTCAGTACACAAAAAACACGAAGGAAATAAAGCAAAAAACTCAAAGGAAATTAATTGAGCATGGGAAACCAAACGGAGGCAGCAGCGGCGCCGACAGTTGCAGTAGGGGTGTGCCTGTTGAAAGGGGAAAAGGTGTTGTTGGGACGACGCCATTGCTCTCTTGGCTACTACATTTCCCTACCTGGTGGCAAGTGGCAGACCCAGACTTCCGTTCATCTGGGGGCTTAAAAAAAAATCCAATTGATATATAGTCAAACAAAAAATATTTGGGTTTAAAGTGAACTTGATGACTAAGTTCTTCACAAAATTACCGAATTAGTGTACTTGGTGGGATCTGTATTCTTCTTTTATAACATAGAGTTTTTCTTTTTTAATATAAACTTTAAGTTTAAAGTGTATGTATTGGATGGGCCATGTGAGGGCTCCACCCAAGAAAGACCTAAAAAAAATTAAAAAATATGAGTTTGGGTGGATTATCCAGCTGCAACTTTTTTGTAAGTGTGGGCAAGTGCCCACAGTTGTCCTTCATTGGGTCCGGTGGCTACCTCGAGCTCGGTACGTAATTATATACACAAATACAGGGGTTAATTTTCGTCTTCCTAATCCCAAGTCATTAACTAATTGGTGTTTGCGTAGGTGAAAACTGAAAATTGAAATGGTCATCAAACGGACCCTAAATTATATTAGTTTTGTGTTTATATAGGTGAGAGCTTCGAGGAGTGTGCAGCAAGAGAATTGAAGGAAGAAACTGGTTTAGACATTGACAAGAAGAGGATGGAGTTTCTGACAGCCACAACAAACGAGCTGCTCCTAGAGGGAGGCAAGCCATGCCAGTACGCGTCCGTTTGCATGAGAGCGGTGATTGAACATGGAGATGGAGAGCCCCAAAATGTGGAGCCAGAACTGTGTGATGGTTGGGATTGGTATGAGTGGGACAACCTCCCCAAACCACTCTTTCGTCCTCTGCACAATGCGGTGCGGGCAGGATTTAATCCATTTAATGCATGAAGAGCAAGAGCATGAGTTAATTAATTCCATGTGTTGCATGCATATGCGTTTTCACAACTTTTCACAATGAAGATGCTAGCCTATGTCTACAAAATTTGTTATTTATTACCTGAATGATTATGCCAATGCTTATCAAAAAAGTAAAAAGAAAAATCTTTATTAAATTCCGTATCCCACAAGTTCTAGCCCACTGCAACTCCTATCCGCAGCCCACCTACACCACGCCCAGCCTACTCTAATTCAGAATCCTGCTTTGCCTACTGCATTTTTTTTTTTTTTTTTTTTTTGGTTTTTTGTTGAAAAAATCAATTCTTTGATTTTTATTTTATTTTATATAAATATAAGCAATAGTCTAAACTAAAGAAGGGTGAGGGTTTCTCATACACTGTCAAGGCATGTTTGGTACACTGTATTTATATTAGATTTTGGATAGGAGTAAATAATTCATGTCAGTTGTTTGGTGTCAACTTGTATTATTTAATTACCTGAATATGTTAAATGGGTTGGGCTTTTAATATTATCCTTACTTGACTAACTAATACAACCCACACGCTCCGGTTTGGATAATACATAATGCTTAATTATAAAGCTAGGGAAAAAGAAAACACACTTTGTACACTCTTTCCATCGTCTTCTCCTTAGGGTTCTTCTTTGCTATCTTCTCTTTTCCTTGTATTAATTCATCTCTCCCTCTCTCTCATACTCTCTCCAATATGTTTCTTCTCGCTTCTTCTCTTTCTTCTCTCTTCTCATGAGTTTTTCTTCAAAATCCATGTTGTTACAATGGTTTGTTTGTGCATCCTTTGACTATACTTTCAAGTCTTATCAAACAAAGAGAACAATTAAAAAGAGTAAAGAAAAAAAAGGCAATAGGAAACTGCCAAAGCTTTGATAATTAAGGGCTTCTCATAATTTCAATTATTTAATAATTAATATATATAGTGAAAAAAAAATTCCGGTCCAGATGCAATAACCATCACATCGATCCTTCAACTTTTCATGTAATGGAAAAATTACTATAATTACAATGGTAAGCTAGGATGGCAAAAGCTAGAATGACCATGGGTAAATTGATTCATGCACATCAACCAAGTAAAATTAGGGAGTTCTCTCATACACTTAACCCCTTTATTTTTGTCTGATATAAGTTTGTCAGACATGCTTCATGCTTCATGTCCTTAAGAATACAAGAGAAAAGATTGATGATGTTCGACATGCTTCATGCCCTGTATGTGATATATATATCAAGAAAAGAAGTTTTTAATATCAAGATCTGATCTTTTTTTTTCCATCAATAAAGGTGTGCTTGTATACTATGTAACTTATAATCCTAAGTTCTACAATTATGATAATGAGTTAGTTCATGTAATCTTGTCTTATACATCTTGGCCCAAAAAAAAAAAGGAAAAAAACAACACATACATAAAAGGAAAGACTAAGAGCAAACTGAGCAAATGGAACAAAAAGCTTGTGCCCTTGGGCTCAGAAACTGAGGAGAAATCTGATGGAATTCGATTGGACCCAGTTGGAATTTTGATTTGGGTTTGGTCGGGATGAGGGAAAGAAGGGAGGGGTTGGGGTTTTAGGATGAAGGAGAATAGGTGTTTTTAAAAAAAAAAATCTTAAGTCCTTAAAAGTCATTTTACAAATGGATAAATTTGTAGATAAGGTGAGTAGGGAAATAGGACAAGTGAGTGGAAAAAGCAGAACTCTTTATGTAATTAGTTGTGTTTTTTTTTTAGTGCTACTATTTCCACCCCTCTGTCCTATTTTCCCACCCACCTTATCTTCCCACCCACCATATAAATTTGAAAAAATACAATCCTATCTTTCCACCCACCACTATTCCTAAAATGCCCTTTAAACAGCCCATGAACTGGCAATTCCTCCTTTTCTTCCTTCCTAGCCGCCGTGACAGAGAAAGCATGGTATGTCTTGAATGACATAAATGCTCTTCCTGCAGTCCTATTTCTACATGTCTGGAAGGAATCCTCATTTGCTAACCCATTTTATACTTCATTCTTCTGCCATTATTGTCTCGGTTAGAAGATAAAGTTCAATGCCATGTTTAGTTTTGTTCAAATTTTTTGATGTTCTGTTTCTTTGCCTTGGAATTAATTTCAGAAACTTGCTTTCGATCATATGGGAAATCACTAGAGGGATGTTAATAATTATCAGTGTTCCAAAGCTAGACAGAGTTCATCCAATTCTTCTTATCTCTACAGTCCTTTTCTTCCTTATTGTTATTGGTTCCTCTTCCTCCATTGTTTTTTTCACAATTCTTCTTGAACATTTGGTGCCGCACATTGCATTTTGCAACTTCCTTCAGAGTTAGAATCGCTGCAATCAATATGAAGAAAGCAAACCTAGAAAAAGAGTTATAACGAAACAACAACCCATTGATCAATATCTTCAAAACTAAAAACCCATTAACCAAACCCAACAAACACGGAAAAACTCAATTCTCAAATCAAACTAATATCATTTTGCTGAATACCATCAATCAAAACCATCAAAAATCCAAAACCCCATCTCCAAACCAAAAAAGTTAGAAAAAAGAAAAATATGTTCTTAAAAACCGAAGTTTTAATGTTTTACTGAAATGGAAAAACAAAAACCAACCATCATTCAAGAGAAACATGCAAATAGGAAGCTCGCACTTGAAGGCATCGATCTTCCTCATCTCTTCCCTCCAATCGCTTAACAAAATCGTCAAGCTTGGACAGCCTCTCAGACACATTACCGATCATTGAAACCTCCTTAAGGAAATCACTGATCATTTTAGGCACAAAAGTAGGTCTAAAATCCAATATCAGTTCAGGAGGAACCGAACCCATTTGAGAGCAAGAGAGATGAAAACCGAGAATCAGAAATAGTAAGGACCTATTTTCAGACCCTATTTTTCATGAGTCCTTAGAAGTCATTTAACAGAATGGTACATTTGTCTTTAAAATTGCGAAAACGAGGTGGGTGGGAAAATAGGACAGTTAGGTCTAAAATCCAATTTTAGTTCAGGAGGAACCGAACCCATTTGAGAGCAAGAGAGGTGAAAACCGAGAATCAGAAATAGTGAGGACCTATTTTCAGACCCTATTTTTCATGAGTCTTTAGAAGTCATTTAACAGAAGGGTACATTTGTCTTTAAAATTGCGAAAATGAGGTGGGTGAGAAAATAGGACAGGTGGATGGAAATAGCAGCACTTTTTTTTTTCCTTATTTGCCCTATCAATCCCAACTGTTTTGTTAAAATTGCCACATATACTTTTTTTTTTTTATCAGAATATTGCCACATATACCATTAGCTAAATAGTTAGTCAATTAACCCCACAAGCTCAAAAAAAAAAAAAAAACAACCACTACGTATAACCACTACTGCATCATCACCCACCAAGGTATGCTCCTCGATCAAATTCAACAGCATTCACAGCCAAGAGAGATAAAGATCTAATACATTGATAAAGTCGATGGCAGAAAACTGATGAAATTGAAAACGAAATTTGATTACTTTTAGAACGGGAAAAGTTAGACCAAATTCAAGAAGCTTGCTTGAGTTGAATTCAAGTGAACATTTTCGTGATTGTATTAATTGCTACCCAATGGATTTAATATATGAAACCAATTGCGTAAGATTCTAGTCATTTAGGAAGTGGGTCTTTGATTTGACGGTCAGTAGATTCCCATTGAGATTATGGCCATATGGTAAGAAGGTTCAGTGAGGTTGTTTTTCCGGTCTGGTTGGATTGGTTTTACGATGACGGTGGTGGATTGGTTTGGAACTATTAGGGCTCATTTGATGCTTAGGATTGAATTGGATAATGAGTCTAGGGTTTGATATTAACTCTATTATCGTTTTTTTCTCAAAAAATTAATGACTACTTATCAGAATATGGGGCAATTTTTATTACAATAACAATAATGTTAGGAACACCAAATTTGAGTCCCAAAAATGAAGTGGCTTCTACCATATCATTATGTTTCAGTTGAAAATTGATACATGTACTTAACCATAATTAACTTATTTTGACACAAATTAAAAAATAATTTTTGAGTGAACCTAAAAGTGACCACTCCACAACACCATGTTCTACCTCCACCAATCTTCCCTCCTTGTTATTCACATAATATTGGATGCACTGGAAGGGAGGTGCAGCTGGGTTGGGGAGCCACAGTAGTGGTGAGGGGCAGTCTGGCTGTGCGGCGGGTGGCTCAATGAAGTGAGGATTGGTGGTGGCAAAAATGTTGTACAGTGGTCACTTTAGGTTAACTTAAAATTAGTTTTCTAATTTGTGTTAAAATAAATTATTAAAAGTGTCATCAAACAAACCCTAACATTAACTGAGTACATCCTATAATATTTAAATTAAAATATAAAATTAACTAAGTACACCCTATTTAATTACCAAAAATACCCCTAATGCACCCTATTTAAATAATTTTTAAAACTAATAATAAACATTTACAAATGAAATAATTGAAAAGATTTATTTATACAAAAAAAATATATTTAAAAAAAACCTATCGAGCCCCCCACTCCCCCTCTCCTCCCACAACTGCCTCCACACCCTGCCCCTACCCGCCCATTCCTTCTCCACCACCTATCCATCTCCAAGTTCTACACCCTCCCTCACACACATCCCTTCGTACCCAGCCCCAGACCCAAGCCCCCGAAAATTTATCAAGGTACCCAACCTCCTGTCGTACCCCCAGAATATCACCTTGACCATCGTACATCAAGTGGGCTAGCACTTATATTTTTTTATTCATCATGCCATCTCCATCTGGATCAATCTCAAAGAGCTTTCCTACTTATATGAGCCAATTTCATGTCACCGAAATTAAGTATAAATGAAGCCAAGGTGGAGGGGTTTCTTTTGTTTTTTTGTTTTTGTTATTTTCTTAGATATGGTCCATTGTCATTTAGATACAATGGATGCGTGACACTAATTGAATTCTCTTCAATTGTAGTCCTCCCAATCACTACTTGCTTGCATCAAGGGTCG